ATATATATTGGTTGGACTATGGGTTAGACACCCAACTGACTAGGCCACGTTGGCGTGCCCGCCACATTTCTTGCTCACTGACAGGAAGAGCATGAAAAGAGAATAAGACATTTTTTCTCGCGTTAATCATAACTTGCCAAAAAAAAGAGAAATGGATTTAAGTGAGGATTTAATGGCTACCTGTCACAATCCTATAGATACCCCCCCCCCCCCCCCCCCCCCCCCCCTCACTCATTTTCGACGCGTTTGCATTTTGGAGATAGCGCAAGTTTGAAGGAACGGATCAATGCGGGGTCCGAAGTTCTATCCAAATTGCTATCAGACATCTTAGGTCCCAGGCACCCACAAAGTAAACGATGTGTTATACGCACGAAATAGCGCCGTCTGGCGATACTTTGAGTCGATATCAAACCGACAAAAAAGAAACCCGGGGTGAGATTCATCTGTGCGCGACGTAAGCTTCTCTGAGCGGTTTAAACTGGCGCCCATATTTTTCGTGCGAAATCAACTCTCGAAAATCCTTGCAACACGAAAATCGAATCAGAAGGAAGGCTCAAGTGAAATCTAGTGTGTCGCAACATAAGGTCTGCGCTAGAAGCTCCGCGGCTTCGCTTCCAAAGCGAACTTTCTGCGTTCGATAACATTTCTGCGTCTCGTGAGCACGTGCGGCCAAAGCACGATGGAAGGCAAAGAGTGCGTGCTGGAGCAAACGCGAAGTAATCACACGATGTTGGTGGTCCCTCCTACTCGTTTTTGCCGAGAAAAGAGTGGATTTTATCAAGAAGCCCTGATAATAAGGGCCTGCAACAACTTTTTTACTTTCTTTTTTAATTTCACCGAACTTGAGCGCACTGAACGTACTAACCTAGTGAACTTCTTCCTTCCTCGAAATTAGCTTTAATTTAACAGCTATAGGCATATTAAAATGACAAAAACAAGCAAAAAAATTAAAAAAAAAAACTTTTTCATGACTTCCTCCTCAAACCTCCTCCTCCGAGATTCTCAGACCAGTCACGGAATTAAAATTTCTTGACATTGGTAATGCATTAAAAACAACACGATCTTACAGCGTACGGTGGACGATTGAGCAAACTTTACGCTCGCAACGTGATCAAATAACGGTTGTGACGTAAATTGTTTTACGCATCGGCATGTAAAAAAGAAAAAGAAAGAACAGCAGTATGCGAATTGATTTTTTGCAGAACGGAACGAAAGCCAACGCTTGGAAACAGTTGTCAACTCATCGCGTTTTCGACAGTGAACGCGCTGCGATAGCGGTCATGCGTACGACAGAGCAGGCAAATATAAATTGGTTAATAAACCGCATTTTCTCACGGCGAAATATCGTGCAAGCATCCCAATGTGACACAAATCACTGAGCATTATATTCGGCTCTCCCTTTATTTTACATCACAAACTTTTCAACGGACTTTTACCAAACCCGAAATTTCTTGAAGCAACCACAAAACCCGGTCAAACAGCGGCGAGCTCTGCGAGCTGTTTCGTCGTTTGTTAGGCTTAGCGGATTCACCGCCGCGAGATGAACGATCTCGTGAAAGCACTGGGAATACTTCACACGTCGACTTTTCCTGTTACGGTCGCAAACGAATGTCGTCCCGTCCGTTGTAATCCTCGCACCGTCGAATGCACAAGTACTTTGTAGAACCACATATCAATCGTCGTCATGCCGTACCCCGCACACCACCACAGACCGCTGCCGGCCATCGTCAACAAAACCACGTGATGCCTGCGCCGCTCCGCATTCCGACGGGTATACAGTCGGAGTGCCAGGGAGCGCTCTGAGAGGGAGAGGCGCCCTCGGAATGAACCACCCGATCAGGCCACAGCACTCACTTTGAACCACTCGATTTCGCGCACCCTGGAAAGAGTGCTCGAGAGCGCGCAGAAAGAACCACCCAATTCGCCATTTCTCTCCGCGCCCGCTTAAATAGGACTGCAGGGCGCCTTCAAGAAAAAGGTAAAACGCTTTGATAGAGTTCCCGCTTGACGTTTCTTACAAATACCGTTGGCCATTGTTGTGGGAACGTGCAAGACACGCGCCACGAGCGGTTGTAGCACGATTTCCCCGTGGCAGTGAGCAGCGAGAACTCACCCGCTGGCGACCTCTTGACCACGTGCTTGCGCCATCCGGCCACTGTGATCCGGCCATCTAACCGGCCGTCCGCGGCTTCTGGGCGCTCCTCGCGGTAGACGATAGAGTTCACGTTTTTGTTGACCTCGAATAGATGGCGCCAATGAAACTCCGTATAATAGAGAGTTTGTCGATGATACCAGGTTTTTGACTCATTTGCATATATGTTGGAATGCCAAGTTTTATAGAAGAAAAAAAAGCTTTCAGCATTTTCACTTTGATGAAGAAGGAAAGCAGCGAAACTGTAGCTTCCCGTTTTCGGCGGTGGCTTTCAGGGCGAGCGATCTGCTCTTCTTTCGCAAGGCAATCTGAAGCGCTCGACGCAGTGGAACTTCAGGAGATAGCGGCTTCGCGACGGTTGCGGAACCATTTGCGCTGCTGCGCACATCGCCGCTCGTTCCGCTCTCGCTCTTCATCCTCCGAAGAAAGGTTGCCGCCATATATGAGCGACGGCGGCAACCAGCTGTCTGGTTGCTGCCGTCGCTCATAGATGGCGGTAGCTGTCCACAGTTCGGTGTCATCATTTCTAATCCAGCGGACACTATCCTTGGGAAACTAGCCCTTAACAGCTCCGCTGTAAAACTATAACCTGCGACGAACGTTATATATCGATGGCCGAACTTTTCAAGATAACGTGGTTCACCGACATTGTCAGACACCGTTCAGTCACGGCGTTAACTCTGCGTTCCAGACTGAGCGTACGAGATGTCAGGAGCAGATTGGTCCTTGTTTCCTTTCGCACCGTTTGTTTCGTCGTGAAGATAGTGGCCCTCCAAATCCACAATGAGCACTCGGCCAGACTATTCGTTCGAATCCAGCCGAGCGTCTTTACACCTGCGTCTTTACCTTACAGGTCCCTTCCCATTTATATGCCAGCGACGCTGCGAATTCGCAAGCCACGTTGCTCGGAGGGTTCATTTTGCTTGGACTCCAGTCCCCGACTTTAGACTCCAGGCGACGATGTCTCTTATTATACAGGGGCGGCGACACCGTACGCTTACGGCCCGGCGACATGGTAAGACGACTGCGCGTCAAGAACGGCGTGGCAGGCCGAAGTACAGATCCGCAGCCCGTGTGCGTCCACAGGTCTCCAAAAATGGCGGCGGGAGCTCCTTCCTCGCCTCCTTCCGAGGGCGTCCAAAGCGCGCACCCGCACTCGGCGGCTTATTTCAAGATGCTAGGCGACAGGACGCATAGCAATTAAAGGCGGCCGCACAGGATTGTCTGGCTGTAGAAAGCGACAACGTGACGTAACACCTAGCAACCGAGCTGCAGTGGTGGGTAGCGGGGCTAGGGCGTACTTGGGCCGCCGACGGGGCGCCGCGAAGCGGCGTGAACGGGTGGGCCAAGGTGGGTTAATATTTTGTAATGAGCCATGTGGCAGACTGTCGCCGGAGTAGGGGTTCGTAACAGGCGATCTTCAGTTTCTAGGTGTTACGTTATTTGAATCCGCTACCTATAACCAGCCAATCCAGTGCGGCCTCCGTTGCAGTGCGTCCTATCCTATCGCCTATCCTTTCAAAGTATGCACCGCCGCCATCTGTCGGCGTTTGCAGAAGGTGTTTCCTAACTAGTTTCCACACCAAGTGAGGCTGTGCCGCTATCTTGTGGCGACGTTGCGAACTTTGGATACTCCAAACCGTCCGAAGTCATCGCATGCATGTAACAGGGCACTATGCTAACGCATTAAACAATCTGTGTCGTAGTTCTGTGGTTACACGCCCGCTTCAAACGTTTGACGGCGACGGAAGGAGGACTGACTCAAGCGGCTTTGCGAAGCTCCTTTTGTAAGCGCGTGGCCAGGTATCTAGAAGTTTCCGCGCTCGAACAAACATGGTTCTCGAATCATCTGGAACATTCCAGTTATGCAAACAAAAGAAAGATAGACGGGACAAGGCTGGCGGGGATGAAGCCCTATAGCCAGTGGCGTGGGAGTCGAGCACGCTTGTGACTCAGCTATTCTTACGCGACATCACTCCCATCTTAAAAAAAAAAAAAAAAAAAAAAAAAAAAAAAAAAACGCATCGCCTTCATGCAACACCAATGAAATTGGCAACTCAAAACAAGAAAAGGACAAACAGCCCCGATCGCAGTTCAGTTCGAATCGGACGACGTGAATGACCTTCGAGTCTTGCGACGATGAATGGACGATTTGCAATTTTCCCAAGCGCCCCGGCCCGCGCGCGAGGAATTGTGGGAGAGACTGTCCCTCGCCTGGCCGCTCTGCCTTGAGATCGCATTGCCTTGTCGCTTGCCTCCTCTTAATCCCCTGTTTTTCGATTTCATTACCTATTTTTATCGATTCCAGTGTATGTTTTATTGCTTCTAAGTGTTCCTATTCTCTTCTGCGCGCGATA